GGCCCCCCTTCCCCCAAAGACAAACGTATTTATTTATAATCTTCATGGAAGGCTAGTATACTGAAAATAATTTTACCTATATTGACATTTGAAATCAGGGACTTGAATCTTTTACACCAGAGCTCTATGACCTGAGCCACACATCCAGCACTTAGAATAGCTAAAATTATACTGACAAAGAATAAAAAAGGGAATAAAGCATTCTAATTAACTTTAAGGTTTACAGTACATGTAAAACTGCTACTGGCAGAGACAAACTGCCAATGGAGTAGAAGAAACACAGAAACAGACTCATAAGCACAATCAACTTGATTTTGCAAGGTATGAAAGCAATAAAACCAAGACAGTAAACAAATGGTGCTGGGGACCACTGGTCATTCATAGGTAAAAACCTAAATGTCAACCTAAATTTCCAAACTCATACGAAAAGGAAACCACAGATAGGCTATATACAGTTCTCACACATGTCTGCCAAAACACAAAAGAACAAAAAAATCAATGATGTTTCATTGAAATAAAAAAAAAATCTTTCATTCTATGAAGACAAGCTTCAAATTGGGAGAAAAACATTTTCAAACCACATATTTCAGAAAGGACTAATATAAAAAACCCAATCAAGACAATGTTGAAAGATATGGACAAATATCTCACTAAGAAGATATACAGATGTCAAATAAGCACACAAACATACTCAACTTCATTGGCCACTGGAAAAATGTAAATAAAAACCTCAGTGGCATCGCAGACAATTCAGAGTTAAAAAATAAGCCAAGTGCAAGCCAAGCACCAGTGGCTCATACCTGTATAATCCTAGCTGCTCAGGAGGCTGAAACCTGAAATCATGATTCACATACAACCCAGGCAGGAAAGCCTACAGGACTCTTATTTCCAATGAACTGCCAAGAAAGCTGGAAGTGGAGTTGTGGCTCAAGGACACTACCCAGGCCCTAAGTTCAAACCCCAGGACCACACATACACATACATATACACATACACAGAGAAAGAGAGGAGAGGGAGGGAGAGGAGAGGGAAGGAGAGAAGGAGAGAGGGAGAGAGGGAGGGAGGGAGGAAGAGAGAGAGAAACAAGAGTGAGCGTCACCAAATACAGTTGCTTGGGCCTGCAATCCTAGCTACTCGTGGGTAGGAGGATCGTGGTTCGAGAGCAGCCCTGGGCATGCTGGCACCTGGCTTAGTGACATGTAAGTAGAGGTATGGTCCAGGCTGGCCTGGCATTAAGCAATACCAAATTCAAACACCAATGAATGTGAAGACGGTTGGGGGTACGGCTGGGCCCTGAAGTTCAAACCCTAGGGCAGCAAAAAATTTTAAATATGACAACACAAAATTTAAAAATCTTGTTCCACAAAGTCAAGCTAAAAACTGGAATATTTTCAAACCCACAAACTGGACAAAGGACAGGAATGTGTAACACCGGCATGTTACCTTGTTGCTATAGATAATCCCACTGCTGAAGTCAATTTTCTAGGACTATCACAATACCAGAAACTACTGATAAACACCACCACCTTCATTTCCTCATTCTTGGGGAGGCTGGAAGTCTAAGGTTAAAGTGTGGTGAACTGTGGTTTGCTGAGGCTGTAACCCCAGTCTTGCCAGATTCTGTCCATTTTACAAGGTGGACTCTGCACAGGGAACGCCCCATGGAATTGGCCCCACCCACTGGCTTCATTCGAGTAACACAGAATCCAGGGATGCAGGATTCCGCCTGTAAAAAAAAGAAAAAAAATCTAGGAAAACTGTTGTATTTTAGACTTCTACAATGCATTAAAGTATTCACATAAAATTATGCAGCCAGGCAGGTGTGTCACACTTGTAATCCTAGCTACCAGGAGGATGAGATCTGAGGATCAGGATCGGAAGGCAATCAAAGCATGAAACTCCTTGAGACTTGTCTCCAATTAATGCTAGTAGAGCTGTGGCTCAAGAGGTAAAGTGCTAGCCTTGAACAAAGGCTCTACGATCCCCACCCCAACAAAAAAGCAGTATTTTGGCAACGAAATTGGGCACATCTTGAATATTGTGTTTGATTTTGCTTTTGACTATGCAGTACCTGAACTTGTTAAAACAATTTAGCCTAGGCTTCTAGCAGTACAGGTACTATATTTGGTGTTATTACTTTGGGGGAGAATAAAAAACTTTTATTTCCCCTAAACATACATAATGACCTACTCTAACCTCAATGGTTAAAAATCTAACAGGTAGAGAAACTCTTTAGTAATGAATTTTTCAAAGCATGCCATCTTCGGAATGCTCTATATAGCACAATAGCTAGGAATCTTATCACAATAACTTCCAAACAACAGTAATTAATTTAGTATAAACCTGTGTGGTTTTCATAATGATAGAAATCCTAGGATATTTTACCTATCGTCCGGCTTAAGCTACAGACTGTCATGCAATGCAGATATTGTTACTTCAAGTACTCAATTTCCCTTCACTGTCATTTTCTGTAAGTAGTTTGTATTTAATGCAGTAGGTTCCAGTTCTGATTCACGCAGCTTTCTGGGTTAGCTTATACAAAGTGCTCAACACTAGGCATCCCTGGGTTTGGAGGCTCTACGGCTGCGGAGACCACAAGTTGTAACCCCACGGGTATTCACAGGAGATGTCCTGGCTTTTACCTAATGGAGGTATGTCCAAGGGGCTGGTGGCAGGACTGAACTGGTGAAAATATCAGGTACCAGGTTCAAGTGCCAGTGTAGGACCAAAAAAAAAAGTTTGGAAATGTGGCGTGGTGGTACTTGTCTAGCGTGCATGAAGCTCTGGGTTCGATCCCTCAGTAACACATAAACAAAAAAAGCTGGAAGTGGCGCTGTGGCTCAAGTAGTATAGTTAGCTAGCCTTGAGCAAAAGCAGCTCAGGGTGTCCAAAACTTCTACAGATGGCTTTTTTTTTGGGGGGAGGGGTCAGTTGTGGGGTTTGAACTCTGGGCTTGGGCGCTGTCCCTCAGCTCTTCAGCTCAAGGTGAGCCCTCTACCACATAAGCCACAGCGCCACTTCCGGTTTTCTGAGTGGTTAATTGGAGATAAGAGTCTCACGGACTTTTCTGTCCAGGGTTGGCTTTGAACCACGATCCTCAGATCTCAGTCTCCTGACTCGTTAGGATGACAGGTGTGAGCCACTGGCACCGGCTAGATGGCTTTAATTTTTAATAAATATTGAACCTTTCTTAAATACAAGAGAAACTGAAAGAAAAATGTACACATTTTTACTAGTACAGGATTAGCTGCTGATGGGACTTAAGAGAAACGGCTAATAGCTTTGGATCTACTATCCTCCATACCATTTCAGTCAACCAGAGGTTAAAAGACATATCTGGGTGGTAATGAAGTCAGTAGTCGGCTTTGTGTTCAATTCTTAACACCACCTCTCTCTCTCTCTCTCTCTCACACACACACAAATACATAGATGCAATGTTTCTTACTCTAGTAATCTGGTATTCTCTAAAGAAAAGTCAGTAAAAGATTTTTTGACTATGCACTTTAAATTAGAAAACTAAAAACATTTTTAATTTGTAAAACCATGACAATTTCTTCACAGCTATGCAAAAGATGCCTACAGCACCTTGTCTTGAAGACTACTCTTAACATGTTAACCCTCAAGGAACAATAGACTAAAAGACTTTAAATACAAATCTTCACTTTCAGAACCTTCCAAGTGATAAATTTCAGAAGACAGGGAGATGAAGTGTTGCAATTTAGACAAAAATGTCATCTCTTTCACTGAAAGTAGCAAGGCTAGATCAGTTTCAAAACCTTTCTGCTTTAGAGCATTTGAGAAAATGAAACAATGAATCTTGTTAAGATTGGTTTACTAAACAAAACACAGAGGGTACCAGTCTGACCAAGACACACTGTGTCCAGACGGACAAGCCGGAATGAAAGGGGGCTGACAACGGTCACCAGAGATAGGGGTCTGAGGGTCAGATCAGAGGCTTTTTGAGGGGCGGGTGTTGGTGGGGGCAGTCTTGGGGCTTGAACTCAGGGCCTGTGCTCAGTCGTCGCTGGGCACCTCTGTGCTCAATGTAACGCTCTATTAATACCACTGTGTGGCACGATTTATTGAACACACTTCCACACATCTTAGGCACTAACACTAAGCCACATTCCCAGCCCAGTGGCTCATTTCTGTAATCCTTGCTATTCACAAGGCATGTGTTCATCATGGTTTGAAGCCAGGCAGGGAACGAAAGTTGGAGACTCTTATCTCCAATTAACTACCAAGAGCTGGATGTGGACCTGTAGCTCAAATGGTAGATCACGAGCCCTGAGCAAAATTCGGGGACTGAACAGAGGCCCTGAATTTATGTCTCAAGACCAGCACCAAAGGGGCAGGGGGAATGTGAGGGGGGAAAAATCCTGAATTCAGATGAATTATTTGCATCTTTCTTAGTTAATACCAATAGGTAAATGCAGTATGATTTTCTTCGCTTTCTCTTTTTGGTCTGTAGTAATAGTGCTATCAGGTTGTAGATATTACTTGAATTAGGGAAATCAGTACAGTATGGATTTCAGGGTATAAATATATTTTGATTAACAAGTTTCCATGTGCTTTCTCAAACTAGCACAGTAAACTGTACAGTTGCCCTACAAACAAGTCAGGGTTAATTACATGTCTGTCTGTCTGTCTCTCTCTCTCTCACATACACACACACACACACACAAAGATATTTACATATGTCATTTAAAAGCTTGTAAACAACTAATCCATTTCTATAACAAACTTTGATTTTATACAGGTTTTCAGACACAGATCCATTGTTCCAGCAGATTTTTCATTCGCAGTTCTAAATTCCAGCTTCTTCCGAAGTATATGACTTATCTCAGCTTATAGTTTGAAAAGTATTATTTCTCCCTCATCTAATGCTTGAAATACTTGTGTGTCTATGTTCTTGGCTGCGTGTAACAATAATGTCTGAAGGTAATTAAACTTTTAAAAAAGAAATTATTTCTACTGAATTTCAAATGACACACACAAAATAAGTGAGAAATTCTTTTATCATATTTAGAATCAAAATATCCCTTAAAATATTTACATTTTACAGTAAAAAGGATAGCAAAACACAAGATCATGTACAAGCTTAAGAATTCAAGTTTCTGAAGAGCCAAGAAGAAAAAAGAAAAAAATGGTCTATCACAAAGCTGTAGTATATAGTAGTAAATGCCTTCAATGAGTACAGATTAAAGCATTTAATGTGGGCTTCTGAGTCTCAAAATTGTTCAACTAAGTGATTAGTATGATTATGAAGTTGCTTAGCTTTTTGTTCCTCTAAAGTTCAAGAACAGTGACGGATGAAAGAAATATACAGAGCACATGTTTACTCTCAAATTAGTCATCATAGAAAGCACATTCACTGGAGGCAGTAAATATATTCCACAATTAACCGTATTTACCGATTAAGGAATAAAACTAAAATTTCTAAGTCTTTATTGCATATTAATAAAACAAATCTTTGAATATACAGCCATGTAAAACTTTTAAAAAATATTAAATTCCTATAACTAGGGATAGTTGGTATGAAGGGCTGAAGAACACTGGTACAGGGCACTCTGCACCAACACAGAGAATTTATTATTCTGAAAACTACCAACAGTAAAAATTTAAAAGATGGCACACTCCTAGCAGGCAATTTCACGAGGATTCACAAGCGACAGTCACAGAAGGGTGCTCCTGAAGCAGCCTGCGGGCTTCACCTTTTGCTCTTGGCTTTGTCGGCGTGGTCCCTGTCTTTGTAGTATCTGTCCCTGTCCTTCTCGCCTTCTCGGTGTTTGCTTTTCTCTCGCTCTTTGTCCTTTTCGTGGTCTTCGCTTTTAGACTTGTCGGGCTTCTTCTCCGCATTCCTGCCGTCTCTGCTTGTGGTCCCTTTGTCGCCGTGTGGTGGCCGGGCCCTCTCTTTGTCCTTGTGCCCATCCTCCCTGCCTTTTCTGTCCCTGTCCTTGTCTTGGCTTCGGTCTCTGCGTCTGTGCCTTTCCGATTCTGGATCCCATTCCTTTTCGTGTCTCTCTCTCTTTACGTGGTGTGAATCACTATAGAATCTCTGGCGGTCCCCTTTTCCTCTACTGAAGGCCCTATCCAGTGGTTGATCTTGCCTACCCCAAGGATCACTGTGGCGCCTTTCTGGTCTCCGAATGTCCTTAGCTTGGTAAAAGTTCTGAGGACCCATATACCTTGATGCTTGGGAGAGGGGGCCCATCATTCGCTGGGGCTGGCCTGGGAGATGAACCACTGGTGGCCAGGGGACCATTGGATTTTGGGTAAAACCAAAGCCCGGAGGGGAAAGTAATGGAGGTGGTAAATGTGGTGGAAATCCAAACATGTTTTGTGGAGGAAAGTTAGGAGGTCCTGCAAATGGAAACCCAGAAGAGCTAGACTTGAGGTGCTGAAGGCCAGGCTGCTGCAGCCTGATGGGTGGGAAGTTTGCACCTGTCCTGGGGCTGGTACTTCTGGAAGTGAAGTTGATGTTTTTAGAAGGAAATTCTGACTGGCATGAATTTCCAATCTCAAAATGAGATGCCGCTGCAGGCGACTCTCTTCTAAATGGGTGCACCGTTTCAATATTTTGTGTTAAAATACCTTCCTTCAAAGGCTCTGCTTGCTCTGTTTGAGAAGAATCTAAGTTTTCTACTGATGATGAGCTTTGTGTGACTTTTAGATTATCATTATGCTGAACGGAGGTGCTTTTCTCTACAGCAGTTGGCTTTTCCTCCACACTGACTGGCTCCGGTAAGTGCTCTTTGCTGTGTGACAGACCAGACAAGGCTGTTTTCTCTCCATCTCTGCTTTCTGAAGCCGCGGTCTGCAGGCTTCGCCCAGCCGCTTGCCTAGGGTCTCTTTTCAGGTTGATAAACTGTGGGGACCGTGTTGCGTTCCCAACAAGGCTCTCACCTGTATTTGCAGTACCATCTACGTTTCCTCTTCCTATATTAGACACACAAGGAGAACTACCTGATGTCAGATTATCTTGCAAATTATTCTCTTGTTCTTGGACCTGTTGTCTTTTAAAATTTTTGTCTTTAATCTCCACAGTCTCCTCTTGTTGTGACAGAACTGATAAATTTGTTAGGAATGCTTCTGTTGAAACATCTTGTGGTTTACCTCTGAGACTAAGACTGGTCAAAGGCCCTGGAGAAATGGTAGATGGTCCCACTAGTGGTGTTTCTTCTCTTCCTCCTGAGTTACCTATAGATTCCATAACGTTGTCTACTTTAGCTTTTGTCTCACTTGTGTCACCATCAGTTGCTTCCACTGTATCCATTTTGTCTGCTGATAGAGCAGGTAAGACTAGGTTGGTCTGCTCAGTTATAAATGGAATTTCTTTATGAGTATTTTGCTCAGTCACTGGCTGGGCCTGTGCATATGCTTGACCAGTGGTACCTAAAAGACTTTGAAGAATATCATCTACAGGAAGAGGTTTATTTGCTAAGTCTAAAGTTGAAGGTTGATTTTCCCAGCCAATTAATACCCCAGGAAGGAATCTTAGAGGCTTTGGTGGTTCCTGTTTAGCAACTTCCATTACAGGTTCAACTGACATTTGAAAATCTTCCTGCAGAGTCTGATGAGGCTTATTTCTCTGCTTGTGTAACACAGTAGAGAAGGAATTGAAGAAGTCATTTTCCTCCTCTGGCGCCTCATCTGTGGGAGTTTCTGTCTTGCTTTTCTTGTCAGGTGGCAAGGCTACTGGCGCACTCAGAGGGGCCTCAACAGCGTGGCCGCTGGCACCATGCTGCCGCCGCAGCTTCTGACGGATAATCAGCCCCAACAATAGATTAGGTCTGTGCACTTCAAGCCCTGCATAAAATAAACACATCAAGTCACCTTCAGTCGCAGCACAACAGTTCCTTTCAAGCTCTTAAGTGGGTTTCTAGCTCTGCTAAGTCAGCTCAACAGAGGTGTGGATCCTAATGAGCACCCATTCTCTAGACTATGGTCACGCCCTCAATCTTCAATCTTATCCTACCAAAACTTATACCTACCAGGTCCATCAAAAGGCACAAGAGGGTGTGGAATTTTATCTGCAGCACCCAAAGGAATAAGGTACATATCTTTAACTTGCTTCATGTTGTTAGCAGCTACTCCATAGCGCTTTCTGCTACTGAAGTATGCAAACAGCAAAGTGTAGGAAATTTGATCTTCTTCAGTCACTGGTGTGAAACGAACCACACAAATTTCCTATTCAAGGAAATAACAAGGAGTTTTGTAAAATGGTAACCTGAAAAATGGTTTTAAATACTAATTCTTAATTATTAGTAATTTGTTAAATTTTATAACTGCTCCCAAATAACACAGTTTAACAACTTAAATACAGATGAGCATGTTAAAAGGAAACTTTTGAGAAGATCTTTGTTCATATAGTGATGAGTTTTTCAAAAGGCTTTCCAAAGAGTTCCAACATAACTAAGGAATTTGTTCAAGATGATACCACCTGTTATTGTCAGATGACACTGAAACCCCAAATTTATTCTATGTATACTACATCTTGAATTCCAATCCTCCAAAGTACCCATGTTCTTAGCATACGGTAAACTAATAATACCCCCACCAACCACCCATGCATCTACTACACAGCAATCCTTCCTTCTCTGAGTGTTACATTCCAAGATTCCCAGTGCAAACTTGAAACTGACGGAATTAACCTACATTTTTTCTCCACATACATACCTATGACAGTTAAATTATAAATTAGGCACAGGAAAAGATGAACAATTAACTAAAAATAGAATAAATCAACAAAATTACTACCAATAATCTTGTGGGTTCTTTTGCTCAAAACCAGTGCTCTACCACTTGAGCCACAGCATCACTTCCAGCCTTTTCTGAGTTGTTTATTGGAGGTAAGAGTCTCAAGGTCTTCCCTGCCTGGGCTGCCTTCCAACCGCAATCCTCAAATCTCAGCCCCCTGCGTAGCTAGGGTTACAGGTGTGAGGCAAGGGTGCCCAGCTGATCTTGTGTTTTGAGGCCACTATTAAATGAATGGAGGGTTATGTGACATTCTATGGCAGTCAATATGATTAAAAAAGAGGGGACTGTCAGGGGCTGGGAAGGTGGCTCAGTGGTAGAGCGCTTGCCTTGCATGCCTGAGGCCCTGGGTTCGATTCCCAGCACCACATAAGCAAAAAGAAAAAAGCCAGAAGTGGTACTGTGGCTCAAGTGGTAGAGTGCTAGCCTTGAGCTGAAGAGCTGAGGGACAGCGCCCAGGCCCAGAGTTCAGGCCCCATGACTGGACCC